AATTCGTAGCATTTATATTTTTCCAGAGAAAGGTTTTGATAAGCAATTATGCTTTAAAATTACAAATTTGATCAAGTAAACAATACCGAGTTACTGAATTTAAGGATATAAGAGAAACGAATGAATTGAAGTTGAAAATAGGACAAAGTATAAGCAAAATTAGGGTAGAGGAAGAAAAACATATATTGATCGTATCTAACAACGGACTAAGAGGATACTGTTGGGTTTGCGATAAAGCAGAAAACAAATAAAAATCCATGTTTGTTCTAAATTACATGATTGTGTTACGTCTTACCCTAATTTTTACACTCTTGAACAATTTGATGAACTCCTGACATTTGCCGAATCGTGTATACTATCTTTGGCTTGTCATTAATGGAGTTAGTATTGTTTAATGTACTTGTAAGTAATGTACATTAAATATGTAGACATATTTGCAAGAAGGCATAACAGGACAGTTATGGTTAGTCAGTTACAGCGTAGAACTTCATCGTACGTTTTTCGGTCCAAGTTGCCATACCAAATTAGTGCAAAGATGGACGCAACTAGATCATATCGCTATCAGCCACAGATGGAGAGGCTTGATAGAAGACTGTCACTCATTCTGGAGCACAGGCTTAGATTCAGATCATGCTCTAGTACGAGCGCGAATTTGTCTGCGTCTTACAGGATGTAGGAACGATACTAAAACGAAACATCCTGGGGTTCTACTTAATGATAGCAAAGCTAAGAATATATTTCAGGACCAACTAGAAAAACGGTTAGGCAGTCATGTAAGTGATACCTACCTCGAGGCAGCTTGGAATGATATCCAAAACGCTGTGAAAACCGCAGTGTTATCTGCTAGGAAGTTAAAACAAAAGGGAAGGGGGAAGCAGTGGATCGGAGTGGCATCTACCGAATCGAAAGATGTTCGGAACCGCATGCCATCTGGCCCCTGAATATGATGAGGAGGCGCAGGTGCATCCACTCTTTGTGTTCTACCAAATTCTAATCTGAATACCTTATATCCTTCAACTATCTTTTCTCAAATTTATTTCACCAGATTATACTCGTTGGATAACATCTTCAAACCGTAATCTTTCTGAATACTGTTCATAATTCTACTACTACCTATACTGCTGTGTGATTTGAATTGAAAATTGTGTCTTTGTGCTAATTTGGTATGGTGGTACCTAAAGTAACAAATGTTGAAGCCAATAGAGTTCGGTTGGTTCATCATGATAAAGAAGCCCGACCATCAAGTCAAGTTCGCATCTACGGTCGGGGGACAGTTATTGTGATTCGACACATTCAGAAACTAAGTCTAACATTATTTATAGATTAATTCAGTACCAAATATAATCAGTGCACTGTATATAAGAATACAGATAATCAATCATATGTGGGATGTCGTGGGAAAAACATCAAATTTTCGTAATAGATCAAACATTTGTGAGCTGTGTAATCTTAGAAGTGCAGAGAACCATCGATAAATACTTCAAACTTTATTTGCAAGAAAGAAATCTTTTTACAACCTAAAGTAATTTCAACAACAAGCAGTAACAGTATACATAAAAATACGTTTATCATTAATACAATTCATAGTCAAGGGACTTTCTAACAAGTACACAACAGTCACAAAATGCTTACTTATTAGAATAAAACGAATGTAATACAAAGGTAATTCAATAAATAAAATAATTCGATGATTTGTCAAAATTAATTTTTCCTGGTTTATAATTTTATTTTATTATTTTCAATTAATATCACCAACTTTATTATCTATTATTGAAGTACATTTTATGACCATTTTAGAAATTAAACTTAATTGAAAAAAAGTAATTTAATATGACACAGTGAAGTAGAGTGGAAATGAAAATTATAGTAATGTTGATGATGATAACCATTAAGTTGCGAATATTACAGTACTCACCAAACGAGATGACTAATCTATGTTATATTTTTTGTTGATTTCAGGTGTCTCAGTCTAGGATAAAATAGATTATATGAATTCATGATTGAAATCATCCTCAAAATTTACACATCTTTACTAAATTATTCATAGGAAAGATAACAACAAACATATTTAGAATATGTAATTAGTATATATACTGATGTTTTAATTATAATAACATTATAAAATTAGTCACTGCTATTGAGCATATTTTGAATTTACAGAATAATGCGCCATAGCCTAAATGTGATCTGTCTTTCTGATTAACAACTAATCTTTGGTCAGTCACAAAGACCTATATCAAGACTTAACATGTGCAAGTGGTTGGCTCATTTTTTCAGCAGTTCTCTTCTACAGGAGGAGGTTACCAATTCCATGCCCAACTTTTTTTTCTTTATGTATAAATAGTTGCACTGTCAGAACATAATGTACAGAATTCGTCTGTATCTTTATTGGTAATCAACATGATTGATGTCTAATACATTTAGAATAGCAATAATCACTGTCATGAGCCATAACATACAGTTTGTTTACAGATCGAGTGACCTTTTAGGTGTGCGCAATAAACATGACAGGCCACGTTACTGAAAATTATCACCATACACGAGCATTCGGTATTCCGTGGTCAGCCTGTTGGTAGAATCAGCCAAGTGTGTCACACCTTTGTGTATGATATGGCAGATTAACACATCTAACAACTGTTAGTAACGCAATTAGTAAACAGGCTTCTTTTTAGCTAACTCATCCGTTTATTTATTTACCTAAACAAAAATAATGGTACAAAGGGGCACCTAAATATTTGAGATACATAAATCACTTAGTTTGTGAATGGGCTGAGAGGCTGACAGGGCACCCAAAACGAAGCAGGTCATTACATTAGGCGATCACTTCCTGAGCCTTTTACTTACAGGTCTAATCCACAAAGGAGTGGGGAAACGTCGGGAGATGCAGTCTCATGGTAACCGATAACCGACAATAGGTTCATACCCCATTCGTTCCCTCAGAATTCTGGAGACCATGAACACCATTGGTTTGGAATCAGGGTTCTCTAACGTCACTACGTAGATCCTCCGTACCGACTAGCCGGGTTTAAGCACTGGACGTGTGCTGTTCGTGCTCTCGATTTTGTAAGTAACACCTCTACCATCGGGAGGTAGTGAGTACAGCTTCCCTGGCAGTGGTTGTATCAAAGAGAGAGAACTCTGCCTACTCATGGTTTTACCGGGGTATTTAAAGGACATCTAGAAAAAAAGTTGTAGTAAAGGAGTAAATGCAATCATGGTAATTTATCTCATAAAAATATCGGAAGAAATCAGATATCTGCTAAACAATTATAGCCCTATATTCATATACGTCAAACCTTAGACTATCTGAATGTTCTATAATATTAGTACCTATGACAATACATACAGAAGTAAATTAAGTATAGAATACGTCGAGGAGACATGATATTAACTAGTTTTGTATTTCATAACACGGAGGAAATATTGAAATTACATAATTTATTCACTTTATTATACTTTTTTTGAGATTATTTGACGAATTGAATTAAAGTCTGTGATTAGACAACTGACTTTCGCCGACTAAGTCATAGGTCAAAGCCCCAGTTGACCTACTTCTATGTAAGTGTCCGGATAGTATCATTAGCCAACTGATGAAATTCGTAGTTCGAAGCTAATTCAATCCAACTGCAATTAGTGAACATGTCAGAAATAGAACTGATATGTACATTCAATTAGCTCAGAATTCTATCACGTGATTTCTCATCGAATATTATTTCGAAACTCTGAGGTAATTACATTTCATACTGGCTCGTGGTTTGAATTCTGAAGCATCGAAAATATTTTTGACAGTTAAGGGGGATATAACATACAGTACCATGTCACCGAGATAGATTTATCACAAATACTCCTCTTGTTCAGCTACCTTTGGACCAAGTGTTCATCGGATCTAGTTACCATCGATATCACCGCCTTCTTCATAACTATAATTATTTACGTATCTCCAGCAGTATATAGGATTACACGCATGAAATGGCTGCTAAACAAATACAAACAACCGTGTTGGATAACAAACGACTTCACAAGTTGCATATTTACGCTAATCAATGAGTTGCTACCATCTGGTCCCTATAATTTACACAAGAGGTGACGAACACTCATGCCTCAGATGAGTAGTTTGACAAGCTCAGAAACTACACCTACTTAGACAACTTCGGTGGGCATTCCTATAAGGTAATACCAAGATCACAATCGGGTTTTGAAACTTCACATAATCCAATTCATGATTCAGACCTGATGAGTAAATCGAGCATAGCGCGCGGCCAAGACGACACGGGATCAGTTATAACGTAGAACTTCGTACGTAAGTACACAGAGACGCAAATATCAGTTCAAATCACATAGTGGTAGAGACAGTAGTATTGGCAGTAATGGAGAATATTAGGGTCCGAAGATATTATTCCAGTATAATTCAGTGAGATGAATTTAGAAAAAGAGAATGATCGAGGCGATGAGGGATTCAGAAGATAAGAATCCCATAGAAAACTGAGTGGATGCATCTAAGCCACTGTAAGCAATTTCGAGCCGTCAATCACGGTCTCTAACCATTGGTGACTTTCGTCTCGCGGACCCCAACCAGGTAGACTACATTTGCCACGTTCTTGTTTGGCCACCCCTTTCTTGCAACCTATTCCTACATCGTAAAACAAAGCTCAACGAGGCAGTCGGTGGTTAGACGTACGCCAACCACCCCATCGATCTGCCATCCCTACCTATTACTCGTTTCCTAACGACAGCATTGCTTACTCGGCTGTCCCGGGATATACCAGCAATGCTCCGAAGACATCTATAATCGAATACTAATGACCACTATTACTGGCCATGTTACGCATCCATATCGTAGGAGAGAGCAAACTACTGTTACTACTCGACCTTTGGTTAGCACACGGATATCTCGACTACACCATATCCTAATGCACCCCGAGTAGATGGCCGTTGTTCTCACAAGAAGTTATAAATGCAGTCTGGCTGAGCACCCATAAAAGAAAACAAATATAATGGATTGTTACTATATTTTGCGGTAATCAAACCTTATATTCAGCTTGCTAAGAACAATGCAAATACCAGGACCAAGAAACAGTCAACGTACATAAATGTGGGGACTACCACATTATAAAGACTATAAACGGACGGCCAGCCCAATTCGGAATTTGGTAAATAAACATACTGACTTAAATGGCATTAAGGAAATGGTTAGGGGCGTAACTTGACTTCTATGTAGACAGCTGAGACTATAACTACACACGACAGCACAAATAACAAAAGGGACTTCTAGTGCCGTTCAGCTGAGGCATATCTCGTTTAAAAACCGACCTATCATTCTATCATACCAGGTGTGATTATATTTGGTCTTTAAACAGAGAGAATTTACCACGTCCACAATAAATGCAGCAGTTTGCAGAACGGCAGTCGATATACCAAAAAAAATAAATTTTCGAAAAAAGCACATTAATTAAGAAAATCAGCCCGATTATGTGCGAAAAAAAACAAAGAAACCAAGGAAAACTACCAAACAAAACTGTACACTTATCAAGAAAAAAATGAAAAGTCATGATCAATACTATGACCGTGAAAGGAAAATATTGCACCTTGTGGGAACTGGGACAATTCCCATGTCGAAAATATTAGACATTTCAGCGAACTTAACAAGTAAAGTTGATTAGAAATTAAAGAAAGTGGTAGTTCATAATCACACAATCGCAGAACTAATAAACTTCATAAGTGAACTTATTGTAGGGAGAAACATACACAGCATTTGGGCATATTATGAAAACATGATATATGAATAAAAAACAAATAAGTCAGTTCAATGTAGCATTGATTATTAGACCAGAATTTAGATCTTCTTGCTTTGAATGAAGAACTAATGTGTCGGCTAAATTATGTGAGGAAGTTAAGACTGTTGTGGATGAAGATTGACCAATAGAATCAACAATAAGTCTATCATGACCTATAAGTGTAGATGCAGAAGGTAGGACGTGGTTTGCAGCACAAATTGTATCTGATGTTGATCTGTGTGCCATCGAACGTGGGATAGGATGAATATTGTGCAAAGACTCAACGGGAGCGGGAGGAAGATGAGAATGAGGTGACAAAGACGGTGGGTCACACAATGAATCTAATGCTGATTTTATGGTAGAAAGACCAGATGAAGTAATGCATGACGATGAAAGTGGAGTGGAATGCATTATATTTTTTTCAGCATTTGGACTAACATTTTGAGCGACCAACATAGCATTCTGTCCCCCGACAACCAAATGACTCAGCAATTGAGATGGTAATACATTCGAGTCACCAGATGATAGAAGCAAGGTATTACGAGCATCTTCGTTAACAAGACAGGGTGCATTTAGATGAACATCAGAATGGTTCATAGACAATGATGGATCCGGAGTTAAACTAGGTGGTGCAGGGGATGATGAGAGCTCGACAGAAGTTGGGATAGTTGAATGGCAACCTGGAAGTCGATTAAGAACTGAGTCACTCATTGATTCAGCAAGATGTGGGGTGGTTATTGCGTCGTGGGCTGACCGTACAACACAGTGATCAACCATGTGGGCGGACATGCGTGCACTGTGGTTTGGTGGCGACCCTTCTAGACTGTGAACAGGGGAAGACGTTGAAGCAGTTAGCTGTACATCCTTGTCATCTACCCATTTATCAAGAGATCTGCGACGGGCGTTCATGAAAAAATTAGCAACAGTAGACACTTCCAGGTTTAACTGTTGTGCAATAGTGGCTTGCATTTCTTTGCTTGGACGCTTAGTTTCTTTGAATATGGCATGTAATGTGCGTCTTTGAATATCAGTAAAAACAAGTCGAGGTTTTTTTGAAGAGCGTTCATCTTGAGCTTTCTGAGTTTCTTCTGTTTTACGTTTGCACGCTACAAAATTGTGAGTTAGGGATAAAAACTTACTTGCAAGGCGTAGAGCGGACATTCGCTGGTATTCAGGTTCGTTCAGCCAGTTCCACATGCGTCTAAAAGTTTCACGTCCTGACTTTAGTTTGCTCCAAGGTTTGGGGTTTCTTAATAGATCTGAAAGTGTTCCTTGGCTTCGACATAGAACTCTTTGTGCAAACACCGCCTGTGGAATGCTGTATCGCTTTAGCTCTGCGCTTATTCGCTGGGCTAAATCCTAAAAGGCAGTAGTTTACGATAAGACTATTAAACTACCTTAGTGTTGAGCTCACTCATGTCATCTGGATGGTTTGGATCATTACCTTCCTGATCACTTCCATCAACTTGAGGCATGGGTGATACGTTACCTAAGCAAGACATAAAATTATAATTTTTATTACCTGGGTCGATTAATTTAACGGGTTTAACACTAACTGACTGATTAAACGTATTTTGGGATGTGACGACAACTGGTGACGCACTCAGATTACCAGACTGATTGTTATGAGCATAAGCTAAAGCAATATACAGGAATGATAACCTTACCTGGATTTCCTTCATGTATTTTCTCGTTTTTTTGCATCACTGGTTTTAAATCCTCGATAGCATAACTATGGCTTTGTTGTATTGCGTCGTTGTCGTTAGCTATCTGACTATAAAGCTTGTCTGACACCGAGGTTATAGGTGGAAGTGAAGTCATGTTAGTGTAATTTGTGGATTTAGAGCTTTCCGATGTATTGGGTTTATCGTTACCGCTAGTTATTTCACCAAGCTGCATTGAAGTAAGCCCAGCAAAATTAAGATCAGTAGCTAATAAATTGTCAGGCAAAGTGAGGGTCATCCCATCCAAACTTTGGTCTTGCATTGTGAAATGAGTAGAGGGAGTTGTGAGAAGAATAGTTTGCTGATCGCCACAGTTTATGAATGTCAGCTTAACAGTTTGGACGCCTTGAAGTGCTTGAGCACCACCTTGCAAGGCTTGTAGTTCTAGCGGTCCAGAGTCTCCAGAGTTGAAAATAGGAATATTCTCCAAATCACTTAAAGGGAGACCAATTTTACCTGGAGCAAGAGCCCCTATAGGAACGGGAGCCATTGTTAGTGTCCCACAACCGGAGCTAGCAGGTATTCCAGAAGAAATCATTCTCGGCTTAGAAACAATGTTCACTCCCTTTCCTGGTACAGATAATCCTTCATCATGACTCTGTCCATTTATATCGAAATTTTGACTGTCCAGAGCAGCTTTTAAAGAAATGTTATTGAGGGTAGCTTCGTCGTGCAGGGAAATACCACTAATTAGTGACTGGAACGATCTTTCAGTCATTTAGCATCCAAAATGTATGAAAAAAGTCGGTTAAGAAGCAATTTTTAACGACCTTCCAGAAAGCGTGCGAAAAAATTCGATCGAACTTATCGACGTTCTGCGGTCAATACTGCGAAGGACAAATCCATTATGGCCGTTCGATATGAGTGCGCGTGGTTGGTCGATAATCATAACAAATATAGTACTTGTTATCTGACTAAAATTCTCAATTTTTGCTACTTATATTAAATTTTAAATTATCACTAAAGCCATCAGACATTGAATTTTCATACAATCACCCATTATTAAGTCAAATGTTTTGATGATACGTTGTAGCGCAACATGTAGTATGCAACGAAATACCCTCATTTTAAATAGTAAGCGCGCAATATGGTAATTAGACGATCAATTTGGTGAGTTCACACCTTGACTGCTCATCACCCTATCTGTGATAGATGTTTCAGCATTATATATTTATTGATATGAAATACTTGGGGCCATCATGACATCAGTAAATTTAAGCAGTTACTACTGCAACGAGGTTACCTAAATTGTCGTAGTTGTTATTCTTGTACCCTACATTGTTGTTTTTTCGTTCACCCGTGGGTAGAATATTAAGAATTACGATTATCGTTCGTCGTATTACCAGTGGTAGACCTAATACATTGGAGGCCAGTTCAATTGTTAGCTTTTATCTACGTGAGTCGACAAGTTAGTGTAAATTTCGGACAAATATGGATGTTTCTGTGTAAATTGTTGGGGAAAAGTATACAATTTTGTGAGAAATTGTATATTTAGTGGAGAGTAAGAGTTTCGATTGCAGAACATCTGTTAACGGAGAGATTTTTAGCAAAAGTCACACCATCTACCTCAGGCTGGCAAGAAATGCTGCTACTCAATACATTATCTGTAGTCACACTAAACCAACTTAAGGATTTTACCTAAAGTTCGTTTATCTTTTCCCGTTTTGACTTGCATGTGACGTACTTCTATGCATTCAAATTTTTTACTTTAAAATCCACTTATCCCTGTAGTGTAATCAGTGGACTTATTTATATTGAGAAGTGCATAAAACTAGAATACTATCTGTTCTTCGTCCTTTAAACCCTAGCAAGGTGAAAAAGTCACATGTCGGGGTAGCTCAAACAAACTCAAGTCATGGAGTAACTGGGTCTTTCCAAATCTGTATTTCTTCATGAACATACATCCTTTTAAAATGCTCATCCACCCTAGAATTCTTTAACACCACCTAAGGTTGAACAAATTAGCGTATATTTGTTATCATGTAGTGTTTTACCACATGTCTTCATAAACATACATGTAATCATGCAAAATAGATTGTTGTGTAATATTATTTAGGAACACATGAATATATGTACAATAGTATAGTTCTTGTTAATATGATAGGTTGTTGGATTGACCTTTATTTTCTCATTAACTGAAGTGGATAATCCTGTGAGGAGGGAAAAAACTACACAACATAGAACCTGACACATCGGTTAAAGTTGCCACACCTGATTAGCACACCGGAACGAAATTATCAAAGCAAAACCACGAAGTTGAGATAGCTACAGTATTAATAGCACCAAAAATGATTAAGGATCTAAGATGCAAGTCGATAAGGTATAACCTAGTGAACTATTTAGAATGAAGAGTTCAGGGACTGAGGTTCTGAAGGAAAACAAACAATTTTGTGATGTTATTTAAAGCCTGACCATTGGTCACAGCAGTTTAGTTCAACATTCTGTTTCTTCATGGACTGATGTCATTTCTTGATCCATCTGTCTCTGACTTCCCATTCTACTTTTACATCAGCCGTTATTGTTCATTGAGGTAGTCGGTTAGTTGGCATACGTAATACATGTCTCAAATATATCGGTCATCGAAGATTAATTGCCCTTTCAATCTATTTTCCATACATGTTACTCCAGAATCACTTACTCCATGGTCCTAAAAATAGATTAGTGATACTTCAAAGGCACTTGAGACCTCATAATGGCAATCTGCGGATATTCTCTATTTTAAAAGCCGTGTTTAACACTTATAAACAGGGATTGAACAAACTGCTACTAGGTAAACTTGAGGAATATCTCATTTACGCTACATGTAGCTTAAGTTCATTTGTCCTGAGTCATGGCAAAAGATTCGGTGTTAGCGATAAAAGGTGCATCAAACTGTCACAAGGATTCTATCGGGAAAAGGAGGATATCTGCTATTGTTAGAGATATAAGAGTGGTTATCACATGGCTCCCAACCCTGTAGAGGAAAGTTTCTTAAGAGGCCTGAGAAGAAACTGGAATAGTGGTCCTATAAACCTGGGACAATTACCACGAAGTCCAGAAAACAACTGCTTATGACCGGTCAAACTTCAATTTTGGGAGGTTTTATGTCTGTTTGTTCCGTGCTTCAAAATGTGTTACTTTTGGAGACGTATGTTCCTAGTGTAAGGTGAGGTGTGAAATTTCATCGGCCTACTTTTTTAACTCCTTCGTTTATATGAAAGCAGTATCGACGCAGATGTTGATCACCTGGAGAGGACACCTTACTGCCTCCACATCTAACCGTAGTAACCTATAGTCAGAGACCTTGAACAACATGGCTCAAAATCGTTTGCGATGGCGCAGGTGCATCCACTCTTGGTATTTTCTCAAATTCTAATCTTCTGAATTCCTTATAATCTCTATCTTCCTCTTTATAAATTTATTTCACTGAATTATACTTCTTGAGTAATGAACTCAAACCCTAATCGTCTCCATTACTGCTAATACTTCTACTATCTCTACCACTTTGGGATTTGAACTGATAATTGCGTCTCTGCGCTAATCCAACGTCCTTTTCATGTTTCTCAAGATACCCTTCCTCGGTGTGGACAGCCGATAAGTAACATCCACCCTCACACCCCTAACTACACACGAGATCAACTTGTTCACGACCGAATCCTTCCCCCACCCCTTAGTAACTCTCTTGTCTCTACGTCTAACCTTTCTCGTATACTCTTATTACCCTGTTCCGCTGATGCGAACGATTCGAGTACATGAAACGTTATTCCTACTCTCCTGAAACCACGCTCTAGTTTACATGTTGGAGCTTTTAATGTTCGTACCTTGTGCCAAATAGGACAACAGGCCTCTTGAACCATGACTGGAATCTTGCGCTATTGGCGTATTCTGCGTCTACTAAACGGCTTGGTTTATTTAAACTATTGATTTCAAAAACAAAGCTTGTCCTCCTAGGTTAGATTCCAGTAGACAGTCGCTTGTGTACTCTGCAAAGTACATTAACGTTTTACAAGCTCTTTGCTCGAACACTGCTGGGAGAGTCAGTTTATTACTTCAGGTGGTTTTCGTCAGGGTTGTCCACTTTCTACATTCTTATTCAGCATTGACATGACATTAGAGACAACGCTTTGATCATATGACTTTCCAGCAGTTGAAATTTCACCGGGAGATTCACTCGTCAACTTAAAATATGCCGGTGGCGTAGTTCTGTTTAGTAGAGACGCTGACAAAATGCAGAATATTTTGACCACGCAAAGCAACAGTGCAAGCATGTTCGGGATGCGATTCTCCCTCTCGAAATGCACTGTTGCTTGAAGATTGGCTTGTGCCAGCACGTGAACTAGAGATAGGGTGCAAAGTGGTTGGGAATACCGACCGCTTCACCTATCTTGGGAGTCTCATCAGTGCTTACGGCTTGGTGTGTGACGAAATCTCAGCACAGATATAGAAGGCTCGACTGGCTTTTGCAAACTTGTGTCACTTGTGGCGTAGGAGAGATATCTGTCTGCTAACCAAAGGTCAAGTCTACTGTACATCATTTTGCTTCGTCCTACTATACGGGTGTTTCCTGAGACCCTGAGTAAGCAATGCAGTCGTTAGGAAACGAGTACTATGTAGGAATGGCAGATCAATAGATGCAGTGGTGAAACGTCAGCTGAAGTGGTTGGGACACGTATTACGTATGTCTAACCACCGACCGCCTTGTGTTGTGTGATGTAACAGTAGGCTGTAAGAAAGCTAGGGGCGGACAAATCAAAACATGGCACAAATCCATTAAGTCACTGACAAGTGGACTGGGTCATGTCGGTAGATGCAGACTACCTGTTGGGATCCATGAGTCGACCTTGATCGACATGGTTCCAAATCGTTTGCGCAGGTGCATTGCGTTCTCTCAAATTCTAATCTTCTGAATTCCTCATGAACTTATTCTTTTCTCTCTTTTTAAATCGGTTCTTCTGGGAAATACTTCTCGAGCGATTTTTTTTATTACCGCTAGTACTTTGCTATGGGATTTGAATTTATAGTTCTATCTGTGTGTGTTAGTTTGATAACGCAACTTTGACTGATGTATGTACGTACGAAGTTCTGTGTTGTAACTGACTTACTGAGCAGTCTTTGTCCCGACCGTAGCTGCTACCTTGACGTGGTGGTCGGGCTTGTCTATTGTGATGACCCAACTGAGCTATACTGGCTGGAACATATGTTCCTGCAGGTCCTACCATGCCAGGCTGGTCGATTGGAGAACGATGAGACTAAAAGCAGCTACCCAAGGTCTGAGGGCGAAGTCGTACCGCTGACTGCAGAGGGGTGTGACAGCAGTAGGGTTTTTCCCTCGGACAACCAGCATCTGCTTCGATGCTACCTTCTCGCAAGGAAGGAAGGGTTAGAAAAGGTCGGCCCTAAAAATGTCACACCTCACCCTACCTCACGGATTTCCGTCTCCTTGGGTAAGGGTGCCCACTAAGGGCCTTTAAGAGCGGAGCTAATACTCAAAAAACCTTTGATAAAAAGGCCGTGCGTGACCGGCCTCAAGCAGTTGTCCCTTGGGATCTGCGGTCGCGCACCCAGGTTTCCAAGACCAACACTAATCTATTTTCCTTTTGAGGTTCCTCAAGAAATAACTTTCCACGGCGTGGGCAGCCGGGAAGTGACAACCGCCCTCATACCCGTAACAGTACGAGAGACCGAATTGGTCGAAATCAAATCCTTCCTACACCCCCTAATGCCTCTCCCTTATCTGACTGCACCGCTAATGCAAACGATGCGAGTTCACGAAACGTCATTCCTGGTCTCTTGAAACCTCGTTCCAGACTACATGTTGGAGCTTTTAATGTACGGACATTGTGTCAAATAGGGCAACAGGCATCATTAGCTGGGACTTTAGAAACTCGTGCCATCGATGTATGCTGCGTCTCGGAAACGCGCATACAGGATCCTAGTAAAGTCATTCACCTGATTCCACCTTGT